CGGGGAGGCCGGGGAGGCCCGCCGGGCGCCGCCGATCCGAGGTTGAGGTCCTGGCCGCAGAGCCTGTCGGCTGGGTGGGAGCCGCTTCCTGGGTCGAAGGGCAAAGGGGAAGGCGGCCTGCGGCACTGCCACGTCCGCCGGCCTCCCTGGACGCCTGTGGACTCGCACCTATGTCTCCACCACCAGGGCCAAGGGCGGGACGCAGAGCCAGGAGAGTGCAAGATCTCTGCACAAGTGCCACCGAATGAGGGAGGGTGCGGAAGAGGAGGGAGAACCCTGGACAGAGGCGATGGACCCTGCGGTGTGACTGATAAACGGCTGGCCCCACTGGAGAGCTTTACTGAAAGAGGCGAGGGTCACACTGGGCCCATCAGGCTGGACGCCGCAGGAATGTGCCAGTCGCCTACTGGGCTTATTGGTGACCAGTGGTCCTCAGTGAAGATTGCATTGCGGCGTCTGTACTGAGCATCTACATCGTGCCAAGCACTGGTGCTCGGGTGTAGAGTAATTATATCGTTTAAAGCCTACACCTCGGAGCTTCAGTAGTGATAAAGGCCAGGAGTCCCTTTGCCCTAGGAGGCTGTGGGCACAGAGGCTGTGCTTATGATAGACGGTCTCTAGAAGACATCAGGATTCATGGCCTCGTTTTGCCCACCCATGCGCGGTGCTTCAGGGCTCTGCCTCCCTTCTGAGGCTTTTATTTTCCTTCAGGGTGGTTACTCAGAATGAGCTAGGACAAGATTGGCCTTGGGACCCTCACTCTCCAACCTTCAGAACACGACTGTGACTTCCACATCTTGAAGAACTCTAAACACTACCGGGTCCCTTTCCCAATTACCATGCCTCTGGAGGTTTTGGGGATCCCACAGGCTCAGGCAACCCTGTAGATACCAAGCAAGCAGACAACCACAGTTACCCTTTTTTCCCACCTAGCTCAAATATGGAAGCAGGACTAGCATCTAAGACAGCTCTGGAGCTCACCAAAGGACAATCCCCAGAATTTTCCTGTCCATACCCCACTTTTCCTCTCTCTCTCTCTCTCTCTCTCTCTCTCTCTCACACACACACACACACACACACACACACACACCCACACAGAAAACAACATATAAGGTGTTTTGATCAAATCCATACCCACTCCCTCCCCTCCAATACCTCCCATATCTCCCCATCACTTTTTTCTGAACAACTTTCCCCACTTTTCCTCTCTCTCTCTCTCTCTCTCTCTCTCTCTCTCTCTCTCTCTCTCACACACACACACACACACACACACACACACACACACATCCTGACAGAAAGTAGGCATGTGCCAAGGCTCCAAATGCTGGGCCAACCCCTAGCTTTAGAATCAGAAAGGCAGCATAAAAAGTGCCCAGGGCTACCATCCTAGCAGGGCAGAAGCTATTTCAAAACAAGAAACTCCTTGAATATAGTGCTTCTTTACTGATTTGAGTTTATTTCTTGACCAGTCTGAATCCCAGAGAGAAGTGACCTGTTTGGGAGCCCCCAGCAAAGCCTCATCTAGAATTACCTCCACTCTCCTCCACCCCCACAAGGTTCCCTCACCCCCCGCCCCAGGGTCAGAGGCAGGAATTGAGAGGCCAATGTCCACCGGAGCTGAGATATCTTAGTCAGCCAAAATTGTGCCAGGACAGCAAGCAAACCTAGCCTTGCTGATGGAAGTTCCTGTGACCAGACTGCACCAGACTCCAGGGTGAGGTGGTGACAGGACGGGGCTCGAATTGAGGCATCCATCTTGAAGGAATGACTTGTTAATGTCTCCCTGAGCCAGTGTGTCTACTTGCCCTTCCAGCACAGGTCCCCCAGCGCCAGAACCTCAGGAAGGCCTGCTTATGTCTCAGGAGAGTTGAGCGTGCAAGGCCTACCAAAGAGGCTTTCACGATGCTCCGCAGGTAAGGTCAGTGACTTGTTAGTACTGCATTGGTTCTGGTGGCCAAACGGCCATGGGTCACAGTAAGGGCTTTAGTTAGCAGGTGGAGGTGAGGCTGGTCAGTTCCTTCCTTCACCTGTATCTTACCAAAGTGCCTAGGCAATGAAGTGTGGCTCCCCCTCCCTAAGCTCATTAAAGTCTTGTTAATACATCACCCTGAAGTTGACACATGGTCCTGGCAAATGGCCTTTCATCATATCTCTACTCTTGGCCTTCCTGGGGGTGGGGGCTAATCTCTGAGGGCTCCTGGCTGACCCCTCTTCTAGCTGCCCCTAGGCAAAGGATCCGTGTCCTTCAAATTCACTGCTGAGGTCACTGGGAGCCTCCCAGGGCAGGTCAAGTGCCCACAATGGATTGGATAATAATAGTGGTAATGATGACTTAATGTATAGCTCTTCCCGTCCTGCCATCCTCTTACAGCCGTTTGGCTTCTATCGCTTCCAGGGTGAAGAATCTACTCCCACCCACACCAAGATGCAGGGGCTGTGCTTGGTATGTGGCTGAGTGCCAGCACTTGATGTTCCTGTGTACACAGGTGGGGCCATAAGTGTATGGGGAGTGGGGGGGCTGAGTGTGTGACATCCTGGCCCAGAGATGTGCAACAAGGACTGTCCAAAACCTGGAAGTGTCATCGTCCCGTCGTCGTCTCCCCACACACACACACACACACACACACACACACACACACACAAAGAGCTTTATGGGGGACAGGCAGGAGCAGGTGGGGCAAGGAAGGAAAGAAAAAGGCCCCAGGGAAGGATGGGTGGGCTGGGGGGCGGGGGGGGAGCAGAAAGAAATGGAAGAGAGGAAGAGGAAAGGGTGGAAGTGTCATCGTCCCGTCGTCGTCTCCCCCTGCCCCCCACCTCTGCCTCTGCCTCTGTCTCTATGTCTTGTCCTCTAGTGGCCCCTCAGGAGTCTCTATGGACAGGAAGGAAACATGTCCTGGCTGGGAGACTGGGGAGTGTGCCCAGAGGACACCACACCCCACTGGCTGCTGCCTGAACTTGCCACTGGTTGGGTTCAGGCTGCCCAGTCTGCCAAGTAGAAGTACCAGCTTTCTGGCATTGGAAGTTTGGTCATCAAGGCCCAGCTGCCAAGGCCACCTCATTGCCAAGGTCCTCCTGGCCATGCCTCCCTGCTGTTTTTAAACTCCAGCTTTGCCTCCCCCTGGACTTCAGGCTCCATCTGGGCCAGCACCCCCATAGCCAGCCTGGGAGCCTTTGGAAGCCTTGAGGGAACTGAAAAATGCAGTCTTTCCTCTGGCCAAATTGGCCTCTTTGCCAGGCCACTCAAAACTTGGAGGAGCCACCAGCCCCAATTTACTTCTATATGCCCACCACAGGGGAAGCCTGCTCCCCCAACCCTCACCCTCCACCGGATGCTGCTGTTGATCTGTAAACAGAACCTCCCCACCCACACCCATCCTACCCCACAACTTTTGTGCTAGCTCCTCATATTGCTGTTGCTTCCACCATGCACCTATAGTCCCACAGAACTCCCCAACAACACCTGCACCATTTGAAGACTTCAGAATCTCGTTTTCCTCCTCCTATTCAGCCTTCAGAACCCACCTCTATGAAACTGCAGCACTAGTAACTCCACCCCAGTGCTCTTTTAAGCCCTTTACTCCCAGGTTCTAGAGAACAAACCCAGATCATAAATAACAAAGGCAGAACCCAACCTGGCAGGACCCATGCTAGCCCCTGGGAACCCACAGAGATTCTCCCCTCCCTCAAGCTTACAAACCCAGGGCAGAGTGGGGAACTCAAAAACCAGTTTTCCCAGAAGGTTCCCTGCCCCCACTCTGTTCTCTCTTGAGCTGGGCGTAACCAGAGAGTCCCAGCACATCTGGTTGTACTTAGGTCAGCTAGTACTGGAGTGAACTGATCCTCACCCTCCTGCCTAGCCTCCTCCTTTCTAACCCAGCCCTCTGCTCCTTCCTCTAGCCTCAGAGGATGGGCTCTGCAAGGCCTAAGGGGTTGGACTCAACCCTGCCTAAGCTGTGAGTGCTGCGCTCCCTGGGTCTCAAGGGCACTAGCTCCAGGCCCTGACATGTATAGCCCACAGGAACCAGCTCCTGCCCCTTCCACACCTAGGATAGTAAAAATCCAGGAAGACTGCTGGTCCTACAGCAACTTCTGCTGTCAGCCATTTTCTAAAAGCCTTTGTAAAATATTAAAGAGCAAAAGAGAATAACCTAGGGCAGTGGTGCATGTATATGGTCCCAGCTACTGGAGAGGCTGAGGCAAGAAAGTTACATGAACCTGAGAGCTCAAGGCTAGCCTGAGTGACATAATGAGATCCTGTCTCAAAAAAGGGCTGGAGAGCTGATTCAGCAGTAAAGAGCACTAGCTGCTCTTGCAAAAAACCCGGGTTCAAATTTCAGCACCCATGTGGTGACTAACAACTGTCCATAACTCCAGTTCCAGGGGATCTGACATCCTCTTCTGACCCCTGTGAGCACTGCATGACATGGGTGCACTTACATATATGCAGACATTACACTCATACACATAAAATAATAAGCCAGGCGTGGTGGTGCAGAGGCAGGCAGAGCTTTGTGAGTTCAAGGCCAGCCTGGTCTACATAACGAGTTCCAGGCCAGCTGGGGCTACAAGGAGACCCTGACTCAAAAAGACCAAAAAAGAAGAAAAAAAAGAAGAGGAGAAGGAGGAAAGGAGGAGGAGAGGAAGAGGAGGGAGAAGGGGGAGGAGAGGGAAAAAATAAATGCAAAACAGAGTGGATCCATCAAGACTGGCCCCAGAGGAACTCAGATTCTAAGTTCCTCCAGTAGCACATACTGACCCTAAGTGTGTACTCACTTCTGAAAATAGAGACTTGGAAGACCCCAGTGCTTCCAGAGAAGCTCAGAGACACAAAGGAAAGGGACAGGGGGACATGAACAAGTGCACAGAGCTGTAATGAGCCAGATACAGTTATGCATACGGGTAGCCCCAGCACTCCAGAGGCAGAGGCAGGAGGATCACTGCAAGTTCGCAGGTCACCCTAGTCTACATAGCTAACCAGGCTATACAGAGAGACATCATTCAAAGGGAGGAAGGGAGGGAGGGAGGGAGGAGAAAGGAAAGAAAGAAGAAAGAGGGAGGGAGGGAGGGAGGAAGGAAGGAAGGAAGGAAGGAAGGAAGGAAGGAAGGAAGGAAGGAAGAAAGAAACGGAAGCAGCAGTAGCAACTGTGATGGGGGGCGGGGCATAGTAGCCAAGGTTCCAGCCCTGGGACCAAGTCCTCCTGAATCCATCCTTGTCACCTAGGAAAGGTGGTGTGGCTTCCACAGGGTGGTGGAAGGGTTTAAATAATATGACACATGCAAGTACTTTGGAAAGTGCTGAGTGGTTGCTATTATTAGGTGCAAACGTTGCCTATTTGATGCTCTTTTTAGCCCAGGCTGACCTGAAACTCACTATGCCGTCCAGGCTGGCCTCAAACTCAGAGCAATCTGCCTGCTTCAGCCTTCCTAATGTTGAGATTACGGTTGTGTGCTACCACACCCTTCTGTAGGCTCTAAAGTTCAGTGGGTGTGTGTGCATGTGTGTGTGTGTGCGTGTGTGTGTGTAGGTACTCGTGCATGTGTGTGTGCAGGTACTCGTGCATGTACTCGTGCATGTGTGTGCGTGTGTGTGCGTGTGTGTGTGTAGGTACTCGTGCATGTGTGTGCGTGTGTGTGCGTGTGTGTGTGTAGGTACTCGTGCATGTGTGTGCGTGTGTGTGCGTGTGTGTGTGTAGGTACTCGTGCATGTGTGTGCGTGTGTGTGCGTGTGTGTGTGTAGGTACTCGTGCATGTGTGTGCGTGTGTGTGCGTGTGTGTGTGTAGGTACTCGTGCATGTGTGTGCGTGTGTGTGTGTGTGTGTGTGTAGGTACTCGTGCATGTGTGCGTGGTGTGTGTAGGTATTCGTGCATGTGTGTGCATGTGTGTGAGCAAGTGTGTGCATGTGTGTAGGTACTCGTGCATGTGTGTGCGTGTGTGTGCGTGTGTGTGTGTAGGTACTCGTGCATGTGTGCATGTGTGTGGGTAGGTACTCGTGCATGTGTGTGTGTGTGTGTGTGTGTAGGTACTCGTGCATGTGTGCGTGGTGTGTGTAGGTACTCGTGCATGTGTGTGCGTGTGTGCGTGCATGTGTATGTGCGTAGGTACTTGTGCATGTGTGTGTGTACGTGTGTGTGTGAGTAGGTACTCGTGCATGTGTGTGCACACAGAAGCTGGAGATCAGCCAAGTGGCTTTCTCAATCTTTCTCCACCTTATTTTTCAAAGTCTCGCACTGAATCCAGAGCTCTCTGATTAGCTAGACTAGCTGACCAACAAACCCCAGGGATCCTCCTGTCTCTGCCTCCCTAGCACTGAGATGACAGTCATGTGCCACCAGGCCTGGCTTTTTATGTGGGTGTTGGGAATCCAAACTCGGGTCCTCAGATTTGCACAACAAATACTTAACCAAATGAGCTCCTGAAGTTAATGTTTGTAGTGTATCAACTGTGGTCTTTGTGTCCTCAGGAGAAGAAACCATGTTGAAGGAACTCCTGTGAGGGACACTGACCCAGAGCAGCCTGCAGCTAAGGCACACACATACATGGACAGACATGGACGCTTTGATTGCAGAAAAAGATAAAAAAAATTTTTAAGGCTGGGGAGATGACTCGGTGGTTAACAGCACTGCTGCTTTTACAGAAGACCTGGGTTCGATTCCCAGCACCCACATGGTGGCTAACAGCCACCTGTAACTCCATTTCCAGAGGATCCAATGCCCTCTTCTGACCTCCCCAGACATTGCATGACTGCACTTAACATACATGCAGGCAATGCACTCATACACTTAAAATAAAAATAATAAAGTATTTTTAAAACTTTAATAAAAATAATAAAATATTAATAATC